TGAAATCCTTTCATGTAACAGCAATGTTTTTTAAAGATGGTTTAACTGAAGACAGCCAGTAGTGCAGCTCTGGCCAGACGCTAAGGGCACCGGCAGCAATCAGCACACGACACACACGTGTACACTTTCACCTGTGCTCAATTGTTAAGATGCCCCAGGGTGAAAAGGTGTTTTCAAAGCAGACACCAATAATCAGATGCAACTCGCGAAGCCCCCTTTTTGTAGACAGCTGGTGCTCCCAACTCAGAAGGCGGGTGGGAGGGGCTCCCCGAGTCCGAGGCACTCCTCATTCCCACCTGAGGTTGAACGAACCACACCTAAGTATGTGGGACCCTGCTGGGCAATCCAGAAACGCGAAACCACCCCCGAAATGGCATGGTTTAAAAATAAAGTCTAACACAAATGGGTCAAGTACAGTCACAACACAAGGATGGCGTATGATTTCGAAGCCCTAGCTTGGGCTTCCGTGCCAACTCTGCTCAGCTTCCAGCTGCCTGCTAACCCTCACCCCACAAGGCAGGTGATGGATGGCTCAAGTGTTTGGGTCCCTTCCCCTCCCCCCTCAACGGGAGAGACCCCTATGGAGTGCCTTTGGCGGACATGTGGGGAGTGAACCAGCAGAAGGAACAGTTGCCTCGCAAATAAATTTAAAATTTAAAAAATTCAAAAAAGCACCAGCTTCACAATTTTCCAATCTCTGGAGTACTCGCTCGCAAGAAACTGCAGAGGCTGATCATCGTGCCCCGCCCCCTTGGGCAAGCTCCCTCCATCCCCAAAGCCTGCCCGGAGCCGGCCACAGGTGCAACACTTTGAGCCCGAGCCGAGGATGCGCGTGGAGAACGCGAGGGCACGCGAAAAGAAAGCGGCACCCAATGCGCCTTCAGGACCGCAGCTGGGGCTGTGGCTCCCCAGAGACAGACCACAGGGAAACGCAGGAGACCGGGCGAGTTTGCTCAACCAAAGGGATGCCAGGAACCGCCACTCACGCTGGACCGCACTAACCAGTCCAGCCACCCACAGACCCCTCATTCCAGGGACAACCCCGAATTCCGAGACAAGGAAGCCCGAGTCCGTTCTCCCAACTTCAGAGACTCCCCAAGGGCCCAACTGCCTCCGGGACGCCTCCGCTGGGGACCCTCCCCCACCTTTTTCTTTCCGGCTACGCACTAACGAGCTTCCTCGTTGCCCCCTTGCCGGCGGCTCCTGTGAAACCGCCGTCGCGGGCGGTGCCTTTTATAGCTTCTGAGACGTCAGAGCGTGCGTCACAAATCCCCGCCCTCTCGGGGGGGTGCCGGGCGCCACGGAAGAAGGCGGAGCGATGGTCACCGCAGCCAATGGGGAGCCGGAAAGGACGGAACCCGGTGCGGAGGGCGGAGCCCTGCGTCTTGCTGTTGGACTGGGGCGAGGCGGTAAACTGGCGTTTCCAAACGGCCGGCGGGAGGGCGCGGCGTTCGCCTCGCCGCCTTCGCTCGCTCAGTTCAAGGAACGGATTTGGTAAACAAGAGCTCGAGCCTGGCACTTCCCGTCTTTCCACACACGACTTCTTAAAATCCCCTGTCACCTCTGCTGCAGTCACACAACAAATCATTATTAAAGAAAGGAGTAATTTGACCCAACTCAGTACTTTAAAACGCGTCTTCAACATGAGAGTTTGACACGAACCCCGAAGCTCCTCCTGGTGAGGATGAGGCACAGTCCACGCCTTAAAGCTGCACCCTACGCGGCAGGTGTCAGGCGGTGAGCACTGTGTGTGTGTCTGTGACTTCAGTTTCCCCAGCTAAAGACGCTGCCTCAAAGGAAAATATCCACTTTATCCAATCATTCGGGCTTCCATATTTATATTGGGCATTAAATAACACCATAATCATGACTGCATGCAAAGCAAACTTCAGATGTGTAAAAACCAAGAACTACTGTAAAGGACATCAACGAGGGTGTGGGGGTGAAGTGGGTTAAGCTGAGCTTGGGACACTCCCATCCCTTGTGCAGGGTCCTGGAACCGTCAGGTCTACCTCCGGTGCCTAGGAAGCAGCAGCTGATGGCTCTGGTACTAAGCCTCAAGTACCCTCCCAGAGGCCGTGGATGCAATCCCAGGCTCTCGTCTTCAGCCTAGCCCAGCCATGACTGTTTTAGGCATTTGGACAGTGATTCAGCAGATGGAAGTATACTTCTTCAAGTAGATAAACAGTTTTTTAAAGAGTCATTTTAAGGCTTCCCTGCACATCATTCTGTGCACACAGTATGTCCTGGAGATAATTGCATTTACCTTAATAATTATTTCTGAGGACATTTGCACGCCAATATGCTTCCTTTTCTCCAAAGACTGTACGTTGGAAATAAAGAAATGCTCCCCGCTAGGTCTGCCTTTGGTACAATTCCCATTTTCCTCATCTGCCTCCAGCCCCTTTAGTGGTTAAATAAAAACGAGATGAATTGTCTTCACCAAAGGTCAAAGGTATAGTGAATTGTGCAGGCTACAATCCCAAGTATAAACATTTGGAATCATTTATGCTATCTTTGGAACTGGAGGCATGGTTTAATAGTCTAATCTTGCTGGGTCATCTTTATACATATAAAGATTTATTTATTCATATTGGAAGGGCAGATCTACAGAGAGAAGACACACAGAGAGATCTTGCATCTGCTGGTTCACTCCCCAAATGGCTGCCAACAGCCGGAGCTGATCCAATACAAACCCAGGAGTCAGAAGCCTTTTCTGGGTCTCCCACGTGGGTGCAGGGTCCCAAGGACTTGAGCCGTTGTCCACTGCATTCCCAAGCCATAGGGAGCTAGATCAGAAATGGAGCAGCTGGGACAGGATCGGGAACCCACTTGGGAAGCAGGTGCCGCAGGTGGAGGATTAGTCAGCCCCACAGGGTGATCTTTAACAAGTATTAAATGTCAAGTCCTGTGTATAAAGACTTGTAACTCAGAAGGCAAGCCTTTACTTATTCCCGATGTTGTCAATGATGGTTTGAATCACTCTGAAATGCACCCTTGCTGGGTTTCAGGGGAAAGCCAGGTACGCTGCAGACTCAAGGACTGTGCCACTCTACCGAAGAAGGACCACCACCTGTTAGGACCCAACCTCCCAGTCTCTCTTTCTGTCTCTCACTCTCTCCATAACCAGCATTTCTCTCTTCCCAGATACCAGATTATTCATCTCTATTGTAATTCTTTGTGGGATGAGACAGGTTTGACAATTTTATTTTTAAAAAACATAATGCCCAGAAAAACCAAAAATTGCATCATGACTCTGTAAATGTCTATCTTCATGGGTATAGCACTGTATTTGAATTCCTGTCTCACAATTTACTTAAGGAAGAAACAGAAAGGTTTATACAGCAAAGAGGATTGTGTGTGTGTGTTAAAAATCAGATACACACTGTCCTTTTAGTAGACAGAAATGTAAAGTGCAAATACAAGAAGTGACATAGTGTCAATTATTATGATTCTAATTCTTTCTGACAACTAGAAGTTATACTTATTTTTCCTTAGTAGACTTACTTATTATGGACTAAAACAAAAACATATCTAATCCAATTAAGGTAAAATCTTAAATATATTAACCAGCAAAGTACATATTGACATTATTATTACTAGATCATACCTCTGCCTATGTTCAATTATAAAAATGCATTCGGTGTACATCAAATATACCTTAGCCAATTCTCTCTGTATAGGTACAATATAATACAAAAATAGAGCTGACACTTAGAAACCAGAAGATTCATCTGAGAACCTCCAAAGCAAGAGGAAGGAGGGATAAAAAGAGGGAGGGCGTGATACGGACAACAAAAAGTACATAGAGATGCCAATAGCTACACATATCTGACTGTTTGCTTCATCCACAAGGGCTCATGTTTACACCAGCCTAAGGGACCAGGCAGATATCAGTGAGTCCATAAGTTGGATGAGCCACGGTACACAGGCCACATAACTTAGGAATGACCAGTGCAACACAGCGTCGGGGTCCGGCCAGGCCCGTGGTACCGTGTACTCACACTGCAGTGTTATTATCTCAAAGTCTTCAGTATTTCTGTGCACCCGAAGCCTGGGGTGTACCACCATGTTGACGCAGGTGCACCATGGAGACAACCTGCACCAAGCGTGGGGATAGCTTGTGGTACAACAGACCTGTGTTTGGCTAGAGACCTGCTAGCAGCACAGCATCGCAAACCTGGCTGGTCAGTAGAGCCCACTGAGGACCAAACTGACTCCTATAATCTCCAAGGGCAAATAAAAGTAATTTCTAAAAAGGAGTTAATGCAGAAATAAATGTGTACAATTTAAAAAAATATAAGACTTACTGTATTCCTTGAATACGGAATAATAGTTCCAACAATACTGGGACCAGAAATTCAACCAAGAAGGAATTCTGAAGCCAAAACTTCATGATGAGAATGGTGTCGTCACAGAAAAGCTGGCCACACGTGCTATTGATTACAAAGAGAACAAAATGACAGTTGCTGTATTTTAAAGACTTCTAATGGCTTTCCCTTCCGTGTAGAGGAAACCAGGAATCCAGCTGCTTCAGAAACCAATTTTTCTCTGTAGCAAAATTTTCTCTTCTTAGCTTCTAAAAGGTATTATGCACACAGCATGTGACAGCAGTTTTCTCTCTGTTAGTTTTTAAAATCTACACAGAATTGAGGAAGTCGGCACGAATAGAACTTTGGAAATAGTGTGAGAAAAAGTGGTCAGGAAAGGAGGTGAGGAAACAGGATGGCAGGATCATTAGAGTCAGTGAGGGAAAACTTTTTCCAAAGAAATCACTCCCAGGCCAGTGTTGTGGTGCGGCACGTTAAGCTGCTTCCTGTGACTTTGGCAGCCCCAGCTCCCTGCTAATGCATCTGGGAAAGATGCACCCAAGCACAAGTGCAGAGAGGTGAGTGGTGTTCCGAGTCTCTGGCTTCAGCTTGGCCCACGTCTCTATTACAGCCATGTGGACAGCAAACCACTAGAATGGAAGCTGTCTGTCTTCTCCCTTCTCTGTTACCGTGCCTTTCAATAAATAAATAAACAAAACACATCCTACAGAAAATTAGCCTCTCGAAGCAAGATTAAATTGCCAACACTCTAGCTGTTTTTCTCATGTTTTATTTTGAAAAGAAATACGAAAATATCAACATCACATGAGATCCAGAAGCATGGAAATGATGCTCTAAAACAACATCCTTTAGCTCAACAGAAATAAAAAAAAAATGCAACCTTAAAAATCAGCCAAATTATGGCAAAGTTTCTTAACAGTGACTGAGGTATTTAGATTCTTTAAAACCATATATGTGCAGAACTGGGCTTGGAGATCAGCTAAAGGAACGCAAAAATCAGCAATGAATTTTTAAAAATAACTCTAAACTCCTTCTCTGAAAACCTGAGCCAAGGGGAAAATGGTATCTTGATAAATACAATCTTGCAAATGTTTCACTATCGTTCATTTGAGAATGAACTTCCCAAGTAATCTGTTCAAAGATTTCCAAAAGTTGGTCATTAGACAATTTTCTAAAACGTAGGTAATATTTATTTATAACTGAGGCTCTCTGATGACTAGCAAAGCAGATTTCCAGTTGGAACATTTTCTTCTATTACTACCTGCTTGGTTTGCTTCCAAAGGAAAAAGTGTTTATCACTGGGAAACCTTTTGCAGACAATCTACAGATGAGTATTTTTGATGACATGTCCACTTAGAGTGTTCATTCTTTTAATAAGGGAAACATGAAATTCTGGGTTATTAACATGGTTCTCTTTAATAGCAAAAGAATATTCCGTTGGCGGTCAGGAGATCGGCTAGCTATTTGTCACTCTTTGGAATAGAGGAACAATTCATTCATTCCATTCACCTTTTGTGCCTGAGTTTTGTTGTCTGTGCAGTGGGGCTAGGACTATCTGTGCTGCACTATTTACAGGAATGTTCTGGGAATAAAGTAAAACACTAGAAAGCGCTTTTATTATTTTTCAAAACACAATATAAACACCATAATCCTGCACATCCCACAGGTGCCTCTCAACATCACCCTCCCCAGGTGTGCTTCAGCCAGGCGCCCCTGCAAGATCACAGCCAGAATGCTTTGTTGAATTTTATGTTAAAAATAAAAGAGTCAAAAAAACTAAAATGCTTAAACAAGGTCACTTAACCTTCTTCATCACCATCATTATCACCATGGCCACCCTTCTTCAAACTGTTTGAAAGAGGACATGTTTAGTGGGTCAGCTGAACTGGGAAAATATGTCCCTGGCACACGTGGTTTTCGGAAGAAAAGCCGATCTTCATGTGAGCTTTGTCCTCGGAAGGAAAGGGACAGGGCAGGCTTCCTCTAGGCCCATCACTGAGGAACCAGTTCCCTCAGGGAGGCCAGAGCAGCATGGATGCGGACGTGGAGTCTGTTCTCAAAGTCGTAGCCAGAGAAATCCTCCTGTAAGGGGACAAAGACAGGAACAGGCTCTGTGAGTGAGGCCAGTGCCAGGGCTGCACTGGAAGCCCCAGCAGAAGCAATGGGGTGGCCCCAGGTCAAATCGCTCATGCCGCCAGCAAGGCTGCACGACCACTGGGGCTTTCACACTCCAGCCTGCTGCATTCATTTAAAAAGTGCCATAGTAGGCCTGGCATCATGGCCTAGTGGCTGAAAACCTTGCCTTGCAACCGCTGGGATCCCCTGTGGGCACTGGTTTGTGTCCCGGCTATTCCACTTCCCTTCCAGCTCCCTGCCTGTGGCCTGACAAAATGGTGGGAAAGTAGGACCCTACATCCTCATGGGAGACCCAGAAAAAGTTCATGGCTCCTAGATTTGGATCGGCTCAGTTCTGGTCAATGTGGCCACTTGGGCAGCGTACCAGTGGATGGAAAATCTTTGTCCCTCCTTCTCTCTGTAGATCTGTCTTTCCAATAGGAAATAAATAAATCTTAAAAAAAAAAATGCCATGGGAGTGTCAGCAATGCTCTCTTTTACTGTCTTCCTGCCACTTCAGGGCTGTCTTCTGCTGCACTCGGTCTAAGTGACTATTACACGTGCCCAATGCAAGAACACAGCGACATTACCAAGAATTATTCTCTACACCCTAAAACCAGGATGAACTATGTCATAACTTCTTAAGATCTTGGAAACTTCATTTAACAGTCAGGTGCTTGCCCGTCCAATAGGGTAACACTTCTCTCTGGTTCTCAGTGAGAACCTCACAAACTTTCTAGAAGTCAGACTTGAGGGTCCACGGCCCAGGACAGGAAGGGTCTCGGAAAGAGGCAGCATCAGGATTCTTACCTTTGCTTGAAGGAGAAGAGTTCTGCCTCTTCCTACAGTCTAGGAATAAAAGAAAAGGATATCTTTTAGTATCTACAACTATACAGGCACAGGCAGAAAACATTAGACTGGGAGGTTATATTAGTTAATATAATTCATGGCAAACAAACAGGTCAATTGCTCATTCAAGAATGATTTGATCTTTCTTTAATATATTTATTCACGTACAGCAAGGCATTACTTGACAAATGATTTCTTATAGTCACACTATTCCATAAAAGACAATAATTAAAGTGTAACAGCCCAAGTTAAAAGCTGGATATATAACCTAATGTTAGTGATTATCAAAGCTTTCATCAGAAGTTGCTAAAAGTTATCTCCTTTTGCAACAGTATTAAATAAGGAAATCAATTTAATTTTTCAAACAAAATGTTGACCAGTCTTGTTATATTTCTTATGCGTTATTAAGATTGTATGAAGAATGAAGTTTTCATTAAAATAAAGAATGTGGTATTGAATTTTCTATTCAAATTCAGAAAGCCTGCATTCTGTTTAGGTAAAATTAGCCTTTCCAATTAAAAAAACTTTCTACATTTTTATTGATTTAGATCAATGTTTAGAATTTACTAAAAGCTGAATTTACTAAAAGATACAACTTTGTAAAATTAACACATGAAGCTCATAGAACTGCGCTTCTAAAAGAAAATTCCAAGTAAATTCAGACACTCTTGAAACCTTATTAAAACAAAAATGTACCAATTTACATACATGCCTTAGTTATCAAGTCAAATTTGCATAGTATTCTAAATGTTTACGTGATCACATGTCTCATCTTCAGTTATTTGACTACAATTAGTTGCCAAGGCAGTTTCTGCTTCCCTGTATCAGTTTTTTTTTTTGTTTGTTTTTGCTTATTTTATTCATTTGAAGGCAGAGAGGCAGGGGATGAGAGACAGGCAGAGACAGAGGGAAGAGAAAGCTCTCCACCCCTGGTTCAATCCCTGAATGCCTACAACAGCCAGAACCAGGCCAGGCTGAAGCCAGGGACCTGGACAGAGTCTCGGTTTTCCATATGACTGGCAGGAATGCACAGATTTGAACCAGCAGCTGGAACATCCCAGGGTGTGCCTTAGCAAGAGGCTGCAATGAGAAGCAGCGGCTCAGGCTCCTGGCTTCAGCCTGGCCCAGGGCCAGCTATTGTAAGCATTTGGGGAACGAGCCGGAGCATGGAAGTTCTATCTCTTTTTGTGTCTCCCTCTCTGTCACGATGCCTTTCAAATCAATAAAAATTTTAAACTCCGTGTGTGTGTGTGAGAGAGAGACAGAAAAGGGAGAGAATCTTACCTCTGGTCTGTCTATCAGAAGACAGCCAAGTTCATAGCACGCGTATGGCTGAACATACAGGTTATTCTGACGACACAACTCATCTTTAACAGCTCGGTGAAAGAACTGAAAGCAATACAAATGTTACTGGAAGGAATTTACTCTCCTGCTTAGCCTAGAGCAGGAAGCATCAAAGGAGACAAACATTTCTTCTCTCCAGATCAGATTTTTCTCTTTCCATCTTCACTCCTCCCTCATTCACCCCATCCATATTGGAGAAGTTCTTTACACACTTGCTTGACCTCCTTCTAAAACAACTGACTCATCAGTCAGTCCGATCTGTTCCTTATTCTTCCAGCAGGCACATCAATCTTTACTGGCCTATTGCACAGAACACATTTATCTGCATCTAAAAGTCTACACAGCCCTGTCTTCATGTTTAAAACAGAAAACATACAAGCCAAGAATTCTCTTGATTCTTTCTTGCTAGTATGCCAGCATGTGATCTAAAATGAGCTGTGTAATAACTAGAACACTACACTGAAAGATTAATTTAAACTTTTCATAAGGGAGTATTATCATTCTAGGACTTTCTAGGCCCAAACTCGCCTATATACAAATCAACTCCTTCAAAGAGAAGTCAGTGTGCTATTGGCTTACAAACACAAAAAACAAAACACTTAGCTGGAAAAATCCTTCCAACTATATTTGAAAATAATGAATAGTTTTTTCTCATATGCTACGCACAAAGACTTAGCAACCTTCTAGACCTCATCCCCCCTCTGCTCCAGGAACCTACAGTGATAAAGAGAGGAAAAGTCAGCAGGTCAAAAGGACCGACTCCTTCCTGCTTTGTCTGACTCCGAGGCTACATTCTGCTCCTCCAGGCTTGGAACATCCTCTGCACAGGAGTTGCACTAGCCTCAGCGCCTCCCAGCAATGGAGATGAGATTAACTAAAGTGCAGCGGGAGGACTGGCTGAACACTTCCCATTTCTCCTGTTTGTGAGCACAGATGCAGGGGCACCTGATCTCTTTGCATGATTCATGACCGCATCCCCACTGTACCTGCAGAGCATCTTCTGAGTTTCCCAAACACTTATGTATGGCACCAAGAAGCAAATACTTTAATCCAACCACCGACGGATCATCCACTTCATGGCAAGCTTCAAGAGAGAGGGAGCAAAAACAGCAGGAAACACTCTCATTGAATTTCTTTCACGACATCAAAAGCCAAGTGAATAGTGCAGTGTCTGGCTATTTACTTTGATTCATGTCTCTAAAACTCAGAGGGCACTTGCTCCTTATTCGTTAGTGAGTGGTGTCCTGCATGAAGGAGGGGCAAAAGCATCAAACTTCAACCAGTCAACAAAACTCAAAATTGTATCCTATTTTTATTAAGTGAAAAAAAAAATAGTCTTCAGTGGCTGCATTGTTTATGTTCCCTGTAAGTAGAACTCTGGAAAAGGCCAAGTGGAGACAGACTATCAGTAGTTCCCAGAGCACAGAAGACAGAGGGATGAGCAGGTAGAGCATGGCTGATCGTAAGGCAATGAAAACTCACTGTGTGACACTGCAATGGTGGACACACTGCCATTATAACAGGTGCCTAAACTCACAGAATGCACACCAGTGCAGCCCAGAGGGAACTACAAAGCCTGGGTGATGATGACATGCCAATGTTGGTTCATTGGCTGTAACAAAAATTCCACCCTGAGGTGGCGTTGCTAATGGGGGCAGGGGCAGAAAAAGGAGACAAGCATATAGTAAAAACTATTCTCAAAGAGAACTTACACTACTTTTTATTAATACACGAGGAAGAGACAGATACAGAGAAACAGTAAACTTCCACCTGCTGTTCACCCATGAAGCGTCCACAATGACCAGAGATGGGCCACCTGGAAGCCAGGAACCATGAACTCAATGGCGGTGTCCACCATGGGTGACAGGGACTCAACTCTTTGAGATATCACTGCCAGAGGGGAGCCAGGATTTGAACCTAGGTACACCTGCTGGGCATGAGGGAACTTTCCTAAGGAAATGAGAAAGGGGGTGGGGAAGACTGGAAACCCATCAGAGCCAACAAAGGAAGTGATACACTAATCACTTTTATGGACCAGTAAGATATTGAGAGTCAGCTAGATCATGTTTACTTTAGCTGCTAGGCCATCGCGCTAGGCCCTCGCTAAATCATCTTATCCAACAGGGTACAGGAATTACATATGATAGTAGTATTAATGAATCAGTGACTATTTCAAGAAAGGCAGAATTACAGAGAGGGAGAGAGAGAGAAAAGATACATACAGGGAGAAGGAGGGAGAGGGAAAGGCAAATGGGGAGGAAGAGATAAAGGGAGAGGAAGAGTAGAAGGGAGAAGAGGAACAAGAGAGTGAGAATTCTTTCATCTGTGGGTACATTTCCCGAATGGCTGCAGCAGTAGGTCTGGGCTAGGCTGAAGCCAGGAGCCAGGAGCTCCATCCTCATCTCTCCTCTGGGTATACATGCCCAAGCACTTGGGCCACCATCTGCCACCTGCCTAGGTGCACTAGCAGGGAGCTAGACCAGAAGCAGACTAGCCAGGGCTTGAACCAGTACTCTAAGATAGCAACACTGTAAGCAGCAGTTTAATGCACTGCCCCACATCACCGGCCCCCAAGGTTGCTCAAATTAAATACAAGTACATGTGCGTACACGTGTTCATTCTTTTAAATTCATCTGAATTGGGATTAGTTCTCAGGACAGCATCCTTTGGGATGCATGAATTTTTATTTTCCCACCTCAATGTCACAGCTGTACTTCTAGCTACATGGTTTTCTTACCTTCACCCTCCCACAAACAGGGACTGCGTGTAATGAGAACTTAAGCTCTGCCCCTGAGCCTGCCCCTCACACGGCAGCACCACCGCTGGCTTCCGCGGAACTAAGCCAGGCCCCTCAGAGCACCGAGCCTGAGCCCTGCTTTTCAAATCAAGTAAAAATAAACTCATAAGCCAATAACAAACTAGGTCAGACCATACTGTCTGCAGCTCCTCTTACACCAACCACAGTGTGCAGCAAATAACTTGCTAAACTACACATGCCACTCTGATGCCTACCTTTGTGGGAAAGGCCATTCAGATATTTGTGACATTACCTGTGGGCTATACAAAATGATTAAGTTAAAAATTAGCCTGCTAATCCACCACCTCCAAGCACTGGTACCCCATATGGGTGCCAGTTCGTGTCCTGGCTGCACCATGTCTCAATTCTACTTACTGCTTATGGCCTGGGAAAGCAGTAGAAGACAGCCCAAATCCTAGGAACCTTGCCTGTACCCATGTAGGACACTGGAATAGGCTCCTGGCTTCGGATTGGCTCAGTTCCGTTTGTTGTGGTCATTAGGGGAGTGAACCAGCAGATGCAAGATCTTTCCATCTCTCCTTCTCTATAAATCTGCCTTTCTAATAAAAATAAATAAACCTTTGAAAAAATCCTAGCCTGTTAAAGATTTAATGAATTTCAAGTACCCCTTGGGGTTGCACTGGCAGGACCAGATCCAATGATTTTGTGGCTTTCACTTGCTGAGCAATTCTCCACAACAATGGCTATGCCTGCACCTCAGTTTCTTAATACATTCTCTTAGTGATGGACATTTGGGGTTTCGGTTAGACATTCCTCACCCCTGCAAGATGTGGTAGGTTATTTCTTTAATACGTAACAATTAAAGAACTCTGGGTCATTGGAAGATTTCATTTGCAGAAGTGGCATTTGGCCCAGGAGTTGAACCACCCATTGGGATGACCACACATACTTCCATCAAGGTAATGGGTTTGATTCCTGGCTGTGTTCCCAACTCCAGCATCCTGTTCATGTGCACCAAGAGAGGAGGGGCTGGTAGCCCAAGCAGCTGGGTTTGCCACCACCCCCGTGAGACTAACTCAGACAGTGTTCCCAATTCCTAGTTTTGAGCCTGACTCAACTCCCTGCTGTGGTGGGCATTCAGGGAGTAGAACAGTGAAGAATTCTGTCTCTCAAATAAATAAAAGAGTGAGTTCATCCTTGCTGTGGACATTTCTTGCAACCATGACAAGAATAACTTTACCAGGGTTGCCCATGGTCATACAGTTTTCTTACTCCATAAAGAAAAAATTGGTACACTCCCAGGCATTTGCCCAAGAGAAACAAGCACACGTCTCCACAGGAGCCCTTAATGTGGGCTGTACGCTTTCGTTCAAAGCAGATTTACTCAAGGCAGATAAAATACCAAAGACTACACCAACCAAAGTTACAAATATCCATCACCAGGCGAACAAATAAACAACCTGAGGCAAAAGGCATAGCCATACAGAGGAGTTCTACCCAGCAAATAAAAAAGAGTCAACTACTGATAACAGGTTACCATGTGGATAAATCCCACGAACGCCATGAACACGTGAAGCCACGTGCAGAAAAATACACCCTTTATGATTCCATTTACAGGAAGTTCAAGACAAGCAAAACTATTCAGCAGACACAGAAAGCAGAACTGTGGTTACACGAGGATGGGGAGCCACTACCAGGGGCACGAGGAAAGTGTTAGGGGTGCTGCCAAGTTGCATTGTCTGACTGTGGTGACGGATGCCAAGGCACATGCTTATCTGAAGATACACTTGACTGTGAATGCTCGTACCCACTAAAGGACAATGATTTTCCTGGCAACAAAACATAGGCTCCCAGCCACGCCCGACACTACAGGATGAAGTACCGCTCCAGAGCCAGCGGCAGCCTGGACTCCACACAGGGCAGGTGGATCTGTAGGCACGTGGGCCTCTTTTGCAGGGGATCCATGCGCCTTCTCCCAGGGTGGGACAAGATGGGCGCTTACTGTGTCAGAGGCTGACTAACGGAAGGACATGGTGCTATGGCGGCAGCAGGAGTGCAGTGCAAGCAGAAGCAGCTGGTGCACGGTATCCCTGCCCGCCTCTTACCTTGGCTCATCCTCTGCAGGTTGGCGAAGGAGCAGTTGGGAAGGGCCTTCCAGAGGTACAGCACCTCGATGGAAGCCAGCACACACAGCACTTGAGTCGGGCTCTGCTTCCGGAACCTCTCCGCCTGCGAGGAGAAAGATCAGGCTCCAGTTTTCAAAACCCTGAATCAGCTTACAAATGTCCCTCGGGGTCACTGAAAGGTAGGCAGCTGTGTGTAGTGGGAAAGGCCCGCCTCTACCAGGAGAGCATGGAAATGTCTCTCCATTCAAACAGTTTTACTTTCCAGTTTTAAGGCACTGGAAGACATGTCTTATCCAATGTCATCTCCTACCAAGATCTGGGGTATAGGTCTGAAAACTTAGGGATGAAGTAAGATGGATCTCAGTTCAAATCATTTGAATTTCTACAGCTGGGTTATGACAGGGACTCGACTGGTTCACATGGGGGAGTTAAGACAAGATGCCCTGTGCTTTAGGCTCCGCCGACTTCCCTGCTTCCTACTTCGTCCTGGGCTGTCACTTGCCTTCTCCATCCTAGTCTAACTTATATGCAGGCAAATCCAGTAAATCATAAAAACACATACAAGTAAAATAATGGGAAACACAGGGTCTGAGAAAGGTCATAAAACTCAAGATTATGCAACCAAGTTTGGTGATTAAGAGTGAAGAATAAAAGTGGGCACTGTCGCTCTAGTCTTGCACCTTTCTGCTGGAAAATTGGATGTACATGTTTGCTTTCTATTGTGTCAGCATGCCAGACACCTGCTGCCCTGGGCATGCAGCAGGTGCCTATCTCCCGAGGCTCTGATTGCAGAACTTTTCTGAAACTCTGAAATGGACACATACCTTCCGCAGACACACACATGTGCCCTGCGGCCCAGCACGGCCTCCACTCACTGGAAAATAGAGCCTGGTTGAAGCAGGTGGAGAGTCAGCTGCTTGGAAGATACCCCTGCCTGTCCCAACCCAGACCCCAGGCCCTGCTCCCCTCCCACATCCCCCCTCATACCTTTTTCACCGAGAACTGCTCAATCTGGTTGTTCTTCCTCTTGAAGAGTTTTTGAACTTCTTTAAAGACAACCTGTGCCCCATCCACATCCCCGGTGGCTCCCTGACACACTGTAAGAAAGCATTGTTGGAGCCGTTGAGTATTTGGGTGGGGATGGGGCAGGAGCAGAGTGCCTCTAAGGAGTAACTGGGGTCATGACACTGGGAACTGACCCCAGGGACAAAATGAGGGCCAAGTGCACAAGGATGGCCACACCCAGGGCTGCCTGGCCCTACCGACGGCCACCACCTGCCCTGCATTTCCCAGGGGCCTGTGTCCCCCGAGCTGTGCAGGGACCCAGGGAAAGCCATGGTCCTTGTCCTCTTGTTGGGGACATTATCTGGCAGGTAACGAAATGCATAGTTACTGCCACAGCATGCAGCTTCCTTGCAGGTCAGGGAGGAAAAAAGGAAAGGAATCTGGGAAAGAACAGGGAGATAATGTTCCTGAAGACTTCTGCCAGGAGAGGAAATCCCGGTCCTGGAACGAAAGTTACCGAGACTCACACGGACCTGCACCCTGCAGAAACGTGCAGGAGGGAGCCACTGTAGCGTGCTTGCTCTTTCATACACACACACACATGCACATAATATGATAAAAAGAAAGCTTAGGGGCTGGTGTGATGGTTCAACAGGCTAATCCTTAGCCTGTAAGCACTAGGATCCCGTATGGGTGCCAGTTCATGTCCTGACTGCAGCACTTCCAATGAAGCAACTTTCTTATGACTGGGAAAGCAGCAGAGGATTGCCTAAACCCTTGGGATGCTGAACCCACATGGGAGACCCAGAAGAAGCTCCTGGCTTTGGATTGACTCCGCTCTGGCCATGGTGGCTATGTTGGGAGTAAACCAGCAGAGAGAAGATCTCTGCTTCTTTTTGTAAATTTGCCTTCCCAATAAAAATAAATAAATCTTCAAAAACATATAAAGAAAAGTTTAGTCAGATGCAGAAAATGGAGAAAGCCGAGGCTGCCGGATTCCCGCTGGGCCTCATCCAAGGGAGTGGCAACTCCAGCTGGTGGCAGGAGCCTCGTGGCCAGAGGCGGGGCTCCACAGGGATGCATACGACCTTGTCAGGGCCCGAATACACAGGTCACAACTAGAAGGGGTGTGCCCAAGGCCACACAGTAACCAGAGAAAAAGATCTACTGCTGCTGTCCCCTGGCCTGGGGCCTTTCTTGGATTATGAAGAGACAGTACATTCAAATTTGCAGCTTAGAAATAGACAGGAAATGGGCAGTGGGGATGCACTTATAACTCACTGGGTGGGACACAAAGATTAGTTATTCCTCACTAGGGTATTGAAGATTTCTCTGCACACCCCACCTAAAACTGTTCACCTAAACTGCTGACATATGTCTTGTTATATAGTTAGACTACCTGAAAAACAGCCAGGTTCTGCAAAATCATGCTTCAATGCTATAAACTGCTAAATACTAAAATTAAAATAGACATGAGACAGCTGAATAGTAATCTATAGCCATTTTAAGGTGTATAGAACCAAGTTGTATATAAACTAATAATTGAAATATCAACGTAGAAGAAGTCATAGGATGTGGTTCAGAACTTGCACTCTTTTTTTTTCTCTGTTTTAACATGTTGGTTACTCAATACCATGTCAACTAATTCCATTACATTATAAATTGTTACTGATGTAATGTTGGGGCTTTTAATTGATTGGGATGATACTCTGCCGGCAATACCTTCAGACCAGAGATGGTCTCCCCAAGAAACTGTTGAACTTATCTGGACAATAAGATGCTGGACTCTATGCTTTGCAGATGCTTGCAATGAAAGAATGTCAACTGAATTTGAACTGTGGTAATGCAACAAGGTGGAGGAATCCACCATGGGGGGGCAGGTTTTGGGGAGGGGAAGGGGGAATCCCAGTGCCTATACAACTGTTTCACATAAAGCAATGCAATCAATAAAATAAATAAATAAATAAAATTTAAACAAACAAACAAATTTACAGCACAGTAACAGCATTGGGATGAGAGCCACAGCTAAGGTCTGCGGCTCCCAGGTCATGGGCCCCAGTGCCGGGCAACTGCTACTCCTCGCACAGCTGCATCACAGAGGTTTTGAAGATCCTCAGGGTGGGGCCAATGGCATGGTGCGGGCTAATCCTCCACCTACAGTGCCCGCAACCCATTTAGGTGCTGGTTCAAGTCCCGGCTGCTCCACTTTCAATCCAGCTCTGTGCCTGGTAAGGCAGCAGAGGATGGCCCAAGGATGGGCCTTGCCCCTCTGTGGGAGAACTGGAAGAGGTTCCTGTGGCCGCCAGTGCATGAATGGACAGACAAAATGCGGGCGCCGCATGCAGTGAGGCATCAACCTCAGAGGAAGGAGATCTGAGAGGTGTTGTGACTTGGTGGCACCTTGAGGACACCGTGAGGTGACATTGGTGAGACACAGAGCACAAACACACCTCCATCAGGTCTCCTATGTGGGTGCAGGGGATGCAAGCACCCAGGCTTCTGCTGCTGCTTTTCCAGGCGCATTAACAGGGAGCCGGATCAGAAACGGAGGAGCCTATTGGCAGGCTGATGCTGTAGGCAGCAGCTTCACCACCGCACCACTAAACTTTCATTTTTAAAGCTTTATTTTATTTATTCATTTTTAAAAACTTGAATGACAGCGCTGCAAGAGAAGAGACACAAAGAGAGATCCTCCATCTGCTGGTTCACTCCCACATGGCCACAACAGCCAGAAGCCAGGCACCAGGAGCCTCCTCTGGGTTCCCCACTTGGGTACAGGTGCCCAAGGACTTGGACCATCCTCTGCTGCTTTCCCAGGCCATAGACACAGAGCTGGATTGAAGATGGAGCAACTGGGACTTGAACCTAGCACCCATAAGAGATACCAACGTCGCAGGTAGAGGCTTGACCTACTAGGCTGTGGTGCAAACTCCTCCATAACACTTTTAAATAGAGCATTTAAGGAGATGGAGTGAAAGCGTAGGATATTGTATTAAACCCACAGATTTACAAGAATGGGAAGCATTTGAAATAGTGTTTGGATTAGTCTGAATTTTTAATAACAGTGAGTTTCTCTCTATACCGACCTGAACGGTTTAGGTGAGGTTGCCCAAAGGCAGGAAATGTACAAGGGCTTGTGTTTCTTCAATCCACTCCCCCTCAGTTGGGAACCACATGGCGTAGTTAAGGATCTTGGGGGACAGACAACCCTTCTGTCCACCAGGTGGCAGCACACCATGAATTATCTCTTCATGCAAGCTACAAGCCTAAAAACCCCTCCCATTCAAAACAGACACGGTAGGTGATCGTCCATGATGTCACACTGTGCTCAAAGAGCTGGCACCAAAGCAGAATCACCAGCCAAGCAGGGGGCCAGGGCGATGGGGCTCAAGTTCTTGGTGAACAGTTATGCTGCTGTTGTTGACCTGGTTGCATAAACTGTCAATACGCTGCGGAAAGCTGCAGCAGAACACAAATGCTTCCCCGTGTCCCACCATGAGCTGACTCACGCTGGGCACTGGGTGGGGAGGGGCATACTATGGGACCGCGTCCACTCACCTGCAGTCAAATAGGCATAGTAGCACTGTGACCACCTGGATTCATTTTTCAGCCTCTCGAAGGAATCAAATGCGTCTTTGAAGTTGAGCTCGATCATGCTGCACCACCCTGTGACAGACGCCCAGTTAGTTCACAGCCATTGAGCCTTTTGCCCCTGAGCTCTGGAAATGGGATCATGTCAAGGGATGTTCAGAAATCCTCAGCCTTAGAACACTGCCTCTTACATGTGTGCTATGCAAAGTCCGGGCAGAACACGGTACTGTGGACGTCACATGCCCTTGGGTGGTGAGACACTCTGGGATTGCCCTGAAGCTCAATTACTCCCATGCATCCTCAGACCTCTGTGAGAAGCACAGATCAAGCCAGCCAGAAGGTAAGCCCCTGCTCACTCTGTCTACTCTCTTGGGACTGGCATTCTGAAATGGAATGCTTTATTTCCTTTGCACATTTAAGAAATATGTACTACTTGAGAGGGAGAGAGAGGGAGCATGCCCAATCTACTGAATGCCCTGGGTCCCCAGTCCGAGTCTCCCACATAGGCAGCAGGGACCAACTATGTGAGACGTCGCTGCTGCCTCCCAGGGTGGGCATTCGTGGGAAACTGGCGCTGGAAGCCGGGTGTCGCAGGGCTCCAATGCAGGCACCGCATCGTGGGACACTGCACCCCAGCCAGCCTCTCATCTGTCGGCCAAATGTCTGCACCTGTCCTCAGGGCTAAACCCGGTATGTGTCCCAGTGATGGAACTGCGTGTGTGTGTGTGTGTGTGTGTGTGTGTGTGTGTGTGTGTGTGTGTGTGTCAAACACTGACAGATGTCTCCCTGCTCCTTTAGGAAAGAACAGGAGGCTGACTGGTCAAGGGAAGCTCTGTGGACCAAGGTTCAATACCCTTCCCTCGAGACAATACCGTCTCCACGAAAGGAAAAGTCTGGCACCACTAAGTGGCTGTGTGACCTCAGCTTTACCACTGAAGCTCTCAGAAGGAAGTGTACACAGGAAAAAGCACACACACTAAGGCAAAGACAATACTGACATGCTGTCAGGGTCCCAGCTGGGGCTGTTGTCATCCTGTAACAGCCACAAGGACAAGAGTTGAGTAGAAAATAGAGAAAGATGTTGGAGTACCACTTATCTCTTGAGTTCACTTCCTAAGAACTGGGCCGGGCAACCGCTAGGCTCCCATCGGCTCTAACATTCTGTGCTGCCACAGACTTCGGTGTGGTGTGCAGAGAAGGCCACCAAGCTAGACTTTTTTCCTACTACAATTTTATGTTACTCATTTGAAAGGCAGAGAGAGAGAGAGAGAGAGAGAGAGAGAGAGAGAGCAAGAGCGAGCTCTCTCCCATGCATTGCTTCACTTTCCAAATGCCTGCAACAGCCAGGCACGGCAGGAACTCAAGTGCAGAGACCCAAGCACTTGAATCTTTTTTTTTTTTTTATTGAAAAGTCAGATATATAGAGAGGAGGAGAGAGAGGAAGATCTTCCATCCACTGGTTCACTCCTCAAGTGGACAAAGACCAGAGCTGTGCCAATCTGAAGCCAAGAGCCCCAAGCCTCTTCTGGGTCTCCCATGTGAGTGCAGGGTCCCAAGGCTTTGGGCTGTCCTCGACTGCTTTCCCAGGCCACAGGCAGGGAGCTGGATGGAAAGTGGGCCACCAGGATTAAAACCGGCGCCCATTTGGAATCCCAGCACGTTCAAGGTGAGGACTTTACCTGCTAGGCTACTGCGCTGGGTCCCCAAGCACTTGAAGCTTTACTTACTCCCTCCCAGGGTGCCCATTAACAGGAAGCTGGAATCAGAAGAGAAGCTGGGACTCAAAACACCAACACTTGGATGTGGGCTATGGGCATCCCAGGGGGTGTCTTCACCCCTGTCCCAAATACATACCTCAAAAGCCAGGCTTTCTAACTCAGGAGCCCAGGCACATTGAATCATACATTATGGCTGCAAAGAGCTCCTGCGGGGTTCAGATCACATGCAGATTTATTTTTTTCATGGGATTATACTTTATTTCCTCTTCCTTTTCCATACATAGGCATTTTAGATTATTCTGATTATCCAACTGCCGGTCTTTCAGTTTGCATTTTTCTTTAAGAGGATCCAGGAAGAGGATCAAGATCCCAGCAGGTGACTGAATGGCAGAGTCCCAGGGTGGAGAACTGACAGATGTCTCTGCTGCCATGCCCTCCTTCGCCCGCCATGTCCCTCTGCAGACACCTTCTGGAGTTCCATGGCTCTCCAGAGTCCGACCTCATCTTTCCAATCTGCTTTCTCCACTTCTTCTCCACTCATCATGTGCTAGGGGGTGTGACCTTGTAGAACTATAGCTGAGTTGAAACTTTATAGTGCAAAGTTCTTGTTAAGAAAAATTTGAGGGCCTAGCGGCATGGCCTAGAGGCTAAGGTCCTCGCCTTGAACGTGCATATGGGCACCGGTTTTAATCCCGGCAGCTCCACTTCCCATCCAGCTCCCTGCTTGTGGCCTGGGAAGGCAGTCGAGGATGGCCCAAGGCCTTGGGACCCTGCACCGGTGTGAGAAACCTGGATCAGTGCAGCACCAGCCGTTGCACTCACTTGGGAAGTGAATCTTCGGACAGATCTTCCTCTCTGTCTCTCCTCCTCTCACTATATCTGACTTTGTAATAAAAATAAATAAATCTTAAAAAATGTATACTATGAAAAAAAATGTAGACTTAAAAAAGAAAAAAGAAAAGAAAAATTTGAGAAGGGGTATTACTTGTGGCACAGCACGTTAAGACTTTTACCTTCAACATCAGCATCCCATAATGAGCACCAGTTCCAGTCCTGGCTCTCACTTCCAATCCAGCTCCCTCCTAAAGAACATGGCAAGGCAGCAGAAGATGGCCCGAGGAGGGGACACCTGGCACTTATATGGGTGACCCAGACAGACTTGCAGCTTCCTGCGTTCCACTTGACCCAGTTCTGGCTGTTATGCCCATTTGGGGGAATGAATCAGAAGATGGAAGACTCTCTCTCTTTCCTCTCTCTCTCTTTCAATCTCTGTTTTGTCTGTCACTATCTCTATGCGACTTTGCCTTTCACATTTAAAAAATCCACCTTTTTTAAAAATTGTGCTTGTCTCAACCTCAAACTTGTGTTTACCCTGCTCAGTGTAAGGGAGAAAATGCTGCAGAAAAGGACTCTGTCACATGGAGTCTTAGAGCAACAACTTCAGAGATGGATGCGGGGGTGGGGGCGGGGGAGTCTTAGACACTGCCAAGTCCACTGACAAATGGATTCCCAGCAGAGACCCATGAGGAGATAGCTGGCAAGGGGTTCCCTGGGGGTTTCCTGCCCATCCTTGCCTCTAGACCCCCCAGTGGCTGCAGGAGAAGACATCCTCAGCCACAGGCCGACAACCCCTGCAGGGTTCAACCCCTGAGGCCTCAGAGCAGGTGGGCGGAGCTGTGACGGGAGCCTCTTCCTGTGCTGAGCTCTTCTCAAGCAAACACTGATAGGAAGGCAGAATAAAGTACTTTGAACTCTAGCTTGCAGTCTCACATGGTGGTTACAAATGGGTCCTCACTGGGTTCACTTCACGTTACTGATGACTGAAACATTACAAAGGACCAACACTGTTCTACAGAGGCAATGAGCATCAGAGAGGGCAGTGCTGTCAGCCATGCCACCACGCCATTGATGTCCTTATGGCCAGGCATGGCAAGAGATTTGGCTGAGATGCATACTGAGTAGCACTGCTAACAGAAAACTTCCTGTCCCAACCTCTGGGCTGCTCTGTGAAAGGAGAAGTTGGACAGGCATCTCATATTTACCGATTTCATACAGACAGACATGCTGAATCTCCCTCTGGTCTACTGCGAGCTCCAGAGCTGTGTGGAAGGAAGTCAAGGCACTGTTGATCTGACACTGAAGAGAAAAGAGGAGAACAGTTACTGGTCAAGCTCCATCAGGATCACATCAGTTGTCAGCTGTCACTCCCTCACAGTCACTTCACACCGATGAAGTGGATTCTTTGGATTCTTCACTTACCGAGTGGCCCGTTTATGTGATTTGAAAGGCAAGGGGATGGGGGAGGGGACTTCCACCTGCTGGTTCACTCTCAAAGCCTTCAATGGTTCAGGGCTGGGTCAGGTCCAAGCTGTGAGTCGGGAACTCAATCTGGCTTTTGCATGTGGGTGGCAGGGACCCACGTACACGTGAGCCATCCTCACCTGCTGCCTCCCAGGGTATGAATGCGCAGGAAGCAGGAATCAGAAGCAGAGCAGGGACCTGAACCCAGAGCCTTGGAGGAGGGATGTGAGTGACTCAATCGGCACTCACTGCGCTGCCAGAAAGCCTGCTGCGAAGCCAGTAGGTTAGCACTGATCGCTGCTATGAGGCTGAACCAGGCACAGGGCACATGGCTTCCCTAAGGCAGTCCAGCATACCACCTTCCCCTCCGGCACTCCCTTCACCCTGGGCAGCAAACTGGCTATGATGTTAACATCCACTAATCTAGCTCTTTGTCAGCGGATGGCTTCCCAAAGCAAGGGGACGGTATTCCATGCTCCCGTGTGCACTCAGTGCTGGCCACAGAGATTCCTGCTCCATTCTGAGCAGGTGCACAAAGGCCAGTCCTCTTCAGCCTCTCCCGTGGACGGCACAGTAGACTCCACCCTTCCTTCGCCTGCTGGGCTCTTACACCCAGAATGCTGTTCTCCAACATTTTGCAAATTCTCTCAGGATCCAGATGACACAGCCAACTTCGGCTTTCCCCAAACGCTATCCAGAACTCAAAAGTTTCCCAAATGTTTCTTCTGCTTTGTCCCAGGAAAACACAGTACTCACCCCTCCCTCAAGGCTACCTTCTCTGCAGGGTCAGTGACCTGTGGGTCTTGGTTGTACAAAAATAAGATATACATAGTAGGGTATTCTGAGAGAGACAACATCCACATGTTTGTTACTCTCATTGAATTGTATTATCGCTAATATCTTACTCATTCTAACATGCACATTATGCTTTATCACAGGTGGGTACATAGGGAGAAGAAAAACAAGGATATAGCAGATTTAGTACACAGGCTGGCACCGTGGCATAGCGAGCTAGGCCTCCATCTGTCGTGTCTGCATCCCCTATGGGTGCTATCAAGTCTTGGCTGTTCCACTTTCAATCCAGCTCCCTGCTTATGGCCTGGGAAAGCAGGATAGGGTGGCCCCAGTCATCGGGTGCCTGTACCAACATGGGAGACCCCGAAGAAACTTCTGGCTCTGGGCTTCAGACTGGCTCAATTCCTGAGACTGATGTGATTAGGGGATTTGAGCAGGAGATGGAAGATCTCCATTGCTTTCTCTCCTCCTCTCTCTGTCTTCCAAATAAACATAAATCTTAAACAAGGAAAGTTCAGGACTATGTGTGGTTTCAGGCACCCACTCAGGATGCATCCCCCGTGGATCACAGTGGACCTGTTCACGTTGCATTTTTCTTTCCACTGAAGTGCTCCTTCAAAGTCTGCCAAGTGGATGCTACAGCACTTGATAAGAACATCTAAAAGAGCCACCTACATAGGCACTGAGGTGGTAGATATCACGTCTCCTTTTGTTTTATTTTTTTTTTAAGATTGATTTATTTCCATTGCAAAGTCAGATATACAGAGAGGAGGATCTTCCATCCGATGATTCACTCCTCAAGCAACTGCAATGGTTGGTACTACGCTGATCTGAAGCCAGGGGCCAGGAACTTCCTCCAGGTCTCCCATGAAGTACAGGGTTCCAAGGCTTTGGGCTCTCCTTGACTGCTTTCCCAGTCCACACGCAGGGAGCTGGATGGGAAGCGGGGCCTCCCGAATTAGAACTGGCACTCATATGGGATCCCGGCGCGTTCAAGGTGAGGACTTTAGCTGCTAGGCTACCATGCTGGGCCTTCACATTTTGTTTATAAATAACAGCCTGGTACAACCTGTCCAGGGCAGCACATGTGGGTTGGGGGTATTCCTGCCTTGCTCCAACTGGGAAGGGGCTGCCTTCCTTGCTGGCATCGGCACGCTGGGGCCTTCCCTCATCCCTCCACCGCTTCCATATAACACCAGCTGCCAGTCCACCGACCCACTTCTCCATGTTACCTGGGGCCTTTTTCTCTACCAAGGAGCAAGCCAGGGACAGAAAGGTCCTGGAAGAAAAGCTGCAGACTCTGTGGAGGCCCAGGCTCACAACCCTGACCTGCTCACTCGAGGTTCCTGGAGATAGCTCCAGTGACATAAAGGAATGAGGGCATCTGAATCAGGTGACCTTGAGGGCAGCCTGGGACTCGGGAAGGCTGGAAGCCAAAAGACTCACTGGCCAAGGCCACGGCTGGACTCATCCATGTCTGGGTTCCAAAGTCCCAAAGTCCCACTGCAGGCTGCTGCCAGGATGGTGCCAGCTATAACAACAGTGTCGCCTCACTGCACCCTGAATTCTACATCCTGGGGTGTGGGAGTGGTCTATAGGAACCCCTCTGGAGAGAATGGCAAGCCCTTGCCTCTGTAGCTCCACATCCCAAGGCCACAACACAAGTACAAAAGGCCAAGGAGGTCAAGATCAGACCCATCTTTCATGAAGCAAGCACACCAGCGTGTGTACAGACAGCTGTTCATTACGTCTGGGCTCCACCTTCTCCCTTTCGGCACTCACAGTTTTCTTACATTAAACACACACTCAGCACATTCCCACTTGCAGATGGCGAAAATGAAGTTCAAAGAGGTTAAGGAGCTTGGTTAATTCTGTCTCCAAAGTCTGTTTTCTTCATAGCATATGCTTGCAAGTGTGAGTAAATGAAGGCTCTTGTGACAAAGAATGCTATCCTGGATCACATGGGGATGGGGTGTCTGCATGAAGCCACACACAGTCCCATGCAGAGGAAGGCATGGCTAGGCCTTCAGGGCAGTGCTGAAGACCTTACCCGGAGGGCACGATGGCTCAGTTGGCTAAATCTGTCAACTCTAAGTGCTAGGATCCCATATAGGAGGGGGTTCATGTCCTGGCTGCTCCACTTGCCATCCAGCTCCTTGCTTGTGGCCTGGGAAAGCAGTGGAGGAATCCCCAAAACCTAGGGATCCTGCACCCACTTGGTGTTGTGGTCTTAGGCAGCTAGTTCAGGGTCAGGAGCTTGGAAGCCGCTCCTCCTCCACCTACATGGTCCTTTCTGTCCGCTAGGGATGCTTATCTGTCATCACCTGGAACCTGAGAGGGAATGTGATTGTGTTGTTGTGTAACCACTCCCCTCTCGAGCCCCCATAAAGGCCCAGGATAGGAAGGGGCTTGCTCTCTTGGTCATGTGCTTCCATAGCTCTTGCTCACCAACTCTTGGCCTCCCTAGAACTCTGCCTTTCAAATAAATAAATACATATATATATATTTTTTGAAGACAGGGCCTAAGGCTGGCACAGACAAGGCATGGACTTGCCCCTGCAGCCCGGGAGGGAGCCACGCCTGCCAGTGCCTTGACTTTGACTCCAGGGAAACTGGCTTTCCACTTGCAGCATCCACAGTGCGTAAGGACAAATTTCTGCCTTAAAGCCCCCAGTCTGTGGTCAGTTCTTACATGACCTTGGGAAACAAATACCGTTTGCTTCTTTCTCTAAACAGCAAAGTGTGCAGAGAGCACCATGCTCTTTCTGCCACAAGGACTGACACAGAACTTGAACTTTCCAAGGTCCTGTCATGGGCATCTGTGATGTGGTCCCGGAGACCAGCACAGCCACAGAGCAGCCATCGGGCTGCCCGAACCCTTAGAGAAACCACAGTCAGCAGCCCTGGAAACAGCACAAACACACAGACCTCTACCTTCACCAAACTAATTTGTGACAAAAGAAAAACAAAAAGATGCGTGCAAGTTTCTATGAGCACAGAACGAAAGGAGATTTAGCCTGCATTTGACACTCAACTCATAACTTCATTTTGGAAAAAAAAAACAAAAACAATGCAGAGCTTGGCTTGAAAAGAGCACAGAAAATGGGCTCACTGAAGAAAAGCCACGAAGCCGAGTGAGAACCACATTGAACACACTGACAAGCCGTGTCTGTCACACACCCTCGTGAGCCTCAGGTTCTGCCCCAGGAAAATGAGACAACGTTGGCTGGCTCTGTTTGCTCCCAGTGGAAGCCACACAAAAGCCACACAGCTGTGCCAAATCAAACAGTGCACTTGTTGCTAGCCTGAAATCTGCAATCTGCAGCCCCTACACAGTGACTACGGAGGGAGCAAGTTCTCGAGTTACTTAAGCCTTGGCTCCTTTTGTAAGTAATAATAATATTAATAATAATAATAATAAATTAAATCACTTATTTCTTTGAAAGCCAGAGAAAAACTGATTTTTCCATCTACTGGTTCATTCCCTAATGCCCTCCAAAGCAGGGGCCAGGCCAACTGAAGCCAGGAGCCAGAAACTCCAAGTGCAGATATTGCACAGGTGGCAGAAACTCAAGTACTGGAGCCATACCAGCTGCTTCCCACATAAGCAGGAATTTGGAACCTGGAAGAGTTAGGACTCAAACACAAACATCCCAAGGGGATCTTATGCCTTGTATCAAACCCCTACCCTTTGAACCCTACTATTAGGTAAGTAACACTTATGGGGGTTGTGAATTGGATTTGCTGCTCCAGCTTATCCTGTACCCCAGTGTTGCTAGTATATAGGAAAGCTCCAGATGCTTGCAATGCTACTTTGGTTTCCATCACATGATTATGCTCTCAGAAAATGCCATTTCTATCTTTTAGATTTTCCATGGAAATAAACCGTTTTCAAATAATACCAGTGTTGTGCCTTCCCCTAGAGAAGACTTACACATCAACTAGCCAGGAGCAGACAAGAAAGTAGGGAACAACAACAGCAGGTGCAACCTGCATCCTGGCTCCTCTCGTCTTTCACCAGGATCTTCCTAAATGTCTCC